TACAACGATTGCTTCCCAACTCCCTGAGCTGAGATAATTGAATATAATTCACTAGACTGCCTACAACAGACGACCCAACTTGTACAAGGAAACACTAAGACAAAATAATCGTGTCGGACTAAAACCCACTTGAACAAGTATAGTAGGTATGCCTTGTATGCCACGGATGCTTGGGGTTCTTCACCCGATTCTTACCTAATGGGCTTTACGAATGACCACGCATGCGTCTCAAAAAGTCTCGTACTCGCAAAGTCTTAAATGAATAATTTTCTCAATCTTCCTTTCGTGCACGGGATTGAAGAAGGCCGAAACTTGCCAAGAAACAAAAATTACAACTGAAATTATAATGCTTTTTTCTAAACAAATTAATAACTTTTTAAATGTGACGAAATTCAATGGAAATGTCTATGCTAATCAAACAGGGTCTCTTTACGAGGGCACGACGTATAGCGATGTCTGGGAGGAGAGCTAAGTCAAAATGTAGTATTCTGTCGTGTGGGAATTTACTCTGCATAATGTTCATTGTTGATGCGAGTTACAGTCTCGCCTGAGTAGTATTTTGCCTTTGCAAGTGTATCGGCATAAGTTGGCGGGAATTTCGTGAATTTTGAAACACATCGTTGACCCTGCGGAGCACCAGATTTTAGGCTTAATACGTAACCGTAGATGTGACTTACTTAGTTGTTCCGAGCAAGTCGCTTTATTTTGAAATCATAAATTCACAATTTTCAGCTAAAAAAGTAACACACTCCCGAAACTACTGGGCGTAAAATTCACTAACGTTCAGCCTGCTGATGAACCAAAATGGTCTTTTTTGAAAAAAACATGGAACATTAGGAAATCTACTAATTATCGCTCGAGCTTATTGGCATTATTTAGGTTTGTGTTAAGGCTTAGCGCAGAAGGAAACAATGACCTCTAGGGGCCTATAATTTTCTTTCAATACAAAATCGTCTGCTCTCGTATAACGGACGTCTGTGTTACTCCCTTCCAGAAAATGAAATGCGATCTCATGTCTCAAATGCTTTGCGTTCGCGAATTAACAGTCTGACTGTCAAGAGCATACACAGACGCCCTTTGCCATGAATCCGGTTGCGCAACCGTCGCGGGGTGTCTTCTTCAGTTGGCAAAGTCGTCATATGACCTTCCTTTGACAATGTACTTTTGAGTTTTAACATGCCTGGTAAGACAGTCTACTACAACGTAAATGTACACGTGACTCGACTCAACTTACTGACTACTCGAATGATTAACATGCTGCCGAAAGCTCTTCTAGAGGGAAGCCAAGATTAAGGCTGTGAGCGGGAATCTTACAGCTCAGTCAACTGTTGACCCGGAACGGTCTGTATGAAGAATCTGAAATGGGAGGAATCCTGCTAATCACCAGTAGTGTTCATTGGTATTATTTAGGTTAACTTAGTAGGTGGATTTTCTAAATTTCCAACTGTCTACGCCTAAGCAATTTAAAGAGGCGAACATCATGCGGCAGCTCTAGAGCTGGATTATTTTCCCTGGATACAAAGTAGCCCGCTCTCGCATAACAGGGGTCTGTCTTACTCCCTTCCAGAAACCCTTTGTCATTAATCAAGGGTAAGATGGGGTTATGTAGCCGCCACCTGATGGACACAATACCGTTGATTTACTTAATTTTGTGAGTTGAAGTGATTAGGTTGGCATGGTGTTGCTGTGCGTTGCGGTATGATTTGTTGGCGTCCTTGTATTTTGTTGTCGCGTCTACCTTCTTAGCTCCAATGCCGGTGGTCCTTCTTGACCTTCGGCATGTCGTCTCCTTCTAACTTTCGCAATGGATGTTTCAGGGTTAGGGTTTAGGGCTGCGGTTAAGAGTTAGGGTTAGGGAGTAGGGCTTAGTGTGAAGGGTGGGGGTTAGGGGGCTAGGGCTTAGGGTTAGGATTATGGGTTAGGGTTAGGGCTAGGGGTTAGAGTTAGGGATTAGGGACTAGGTTTAGGAGTTAGGGACTAGGGTTAGTGATTAGAGTTAGGTGTTAGAGTTGGGGGCTAGTGTTTGGGGCTAGGACAGCTATTTCGTAGTCACACTCAAATTTCCACCGCGCATTCCCAATAGCTTTTCTTTTGCGCACAATTACTTGACCTCGTCGCATGTGCGTTCCCCGGCCCCACCTTAAAAAAACCCTTTTACAACTGCTTTCATATTATAGGTTGCTGGGGTTTCTTTACCTCAGGTGCGGCTATATAACCATATCTAACCAAGTCATTTTTCATTATTTCAGAACATCATTCGATTAGTTATGGTCAGCTGACTTACCCCAACCACTGGACAACTGGTCCGTTGTTCTGAAACTTGTGCTAAGTAATTATCATTAGAACTATATTCAGTTAGATCGCAGTTGGTAGCCAGGGATGGGGAGGCGGACAGCCAGGCCCCTGTCATACGGGGATAGTGGGTAAGGGGCTTATATGTGCGGGGCAAATGGAAGGGGTGGCAGAGGAATGCTGGAGTTAATCAGAAGAAGAAGAAGAAGAAGAAGAAGAAGAAGAAGCGATCGCTTATTCTTCTGATCAACTAGGTCCTGCAACTCGCATCTTCGCTCGTATCACGAATGCTGGAGTTTCTGGGTAAAAGTAAAGTTACGAGGGAAAGTGCTTGGAAGGTTTAAGTAGGTGGAATAGTGGCAGAAAATTAAAACCTACGTTTAAACCTAAAATCCAAATCTGACCGGCAAACCTAAGTCTCAAAACCGAAACGTAACCAAATTGTTAAAACCCAAAGCTAGCCCAAAATCTAGCCATAACCCTAACCCAAACGTTAAGCCTAACCCTAACCTTAAACCTAACCCTAACCTTAAACTTAACCGTAACCCTAACGGGAACCTAAACCTTAACACTGAAACCCGACCATAAGACGCAAACCCTAGTCCTAAAACTTAACCTACGCCTAACCCTAACCCTCACTAAACCCAACAGCCTGACCGAAACGGGCGACCTGCCTAACTCAGTAAGAGCACACCTGCTGATAACAAGTTCCCTAGACAAGGTAAGCACACCTACTGATAACAAGTACGTACGTCGACAGTATCAACGTATAATGTCTGGTTACCAACTGCGATCTTACCCTATATTCGTTATATTCATTATCAGGGCCACTAAAACGAGGCCCATCTATTCCCATGCCCGTCCCTAAGCCTAATTTCTTTAAATATAGCGCAGTTTTACCTTCATTATGGGGGTTCCTACTCCAATATCTTGCGAGAATTAACAAGACGCATAAGTTATCCCTACCCCATCATCGACTATAACGGTCATATGTCCGCTGAAAGTGAAATGGCGTCATTATTGCGAAGGAAACGCCCGATGAATTTAATTGCAAAACTTTTTGCACTGTTAGAAAACTGAAAGGTAAAGCTACCTTATAAGAGGGAATTCCAGTTGATTCTTGTGTACGTTTGCATCGTGATAGACCGTCTTGCTGAGCTCCTAAGAGAAGTAATATTAGAATTCCGAGACACGTGATTCGTCGAAGATGCACTGCAGAATGGCGTAGCTGTCAGGTGACTGTGTGATCACTATGCTACCCTCAGCATTCTCTATTTTGCTCTCTCGAGTATCTTTCAATTTTCTAATGCTGGGCTTTTTGGCAAGTGTGATAATCCAATCTTACCTTTTTCCTATTACAGACTGCCGGCCAGCATTGTTTGAATTGGACGTCTCCTTCATCTATTAAAATGGTGGATTTCGGATCAATTTTTCCTACCAACTTTCGGGATAGTTATGAGAAGTCTTGAGGAGAAAAATTTGCTCCAAGTTTGCACATTAATTTCCAAAGAAAATCAAAGTCTTCTGAACAACTCCTTTAGAGTCCTTTTGACGTTCGAGTGAATATACGTTCTTCAGGGAGATAATGGCAAAATTATGGTATGTAACCCCCTTGAGGAGACCGTAGTTAGCTACAAACCTAATGTCAACCATGGTCAGGTCTTCAGTGGGGAAATAACCAATCTGTAAGCATTTAAGGCAAAATCGGACGCAACCGTAGCAATAAGCCATGCCGTAAAACCCTATCCTCTATCCCTAATTCCAATCGTAACTAAGGCCTGGAAACCCTATTCCCAAAGAATGACATCAATTTCAACCGCTGTCCAAATCTTAACCTTGAGCCGAAAACCGGCAACTTTAATGTCCACAACGCTATTGGAGGTCGAAATCTGCCTACTGTACAACTCCTTTCACAATCTACTGCCAGGCAAGTCGTTATGAAACAAAAAACCACCCGAGGGGTTACCTACCGAGGTAATAATAATCTCAAAAATGATGCTTAACTTTTCGTGCTCACAGCTGGGATGATAGACAAAAGCACACCTACTCCATGCAGAGGCATAAAAACCGCAAAACACATGTTTGTGCTTTCGAGCAGTATGGGTGCTATTTCACCTGAAAATCCAATGGTGCGCGACGAAATTGCCTGAAAATTACTGACGGTAACAGTGACTCCCCTCCTCCATATTCAGTGCTAAGACTTTGCGTGGGAAGGATAATTGCTCACTCGGGGAGCGCGTGGCGAACACTGCTTCCAGCAACATTATCAGCGAACCAAAATGATGGATAATCATCGCGCTGATAAACAAAATGAACGATGAAAATGATAAAACCGATGACTCCGGTGCTGATGAGAAAGTCATAATCGCACCATGTACGGCCATCGTAGGGGGGAACGGCTAATTGTGATAAGGACGTGGCAACTGTAGCGCTCTCTGATGGCGAGGTCGAGTGCGAACCAGAAAAGTCATGTGAACAGTCCCACTGGAGGGCACTCCATCGCTCGCATTGACGACTTCGTAGTCTGAGGTCTACATCGAGCATGCTGGCATTTGTGCGAATAGCAGAGCACTGTGACAAATCAGCCAATCAGGCTCGAGCACGCATTGCTCACTGCGTTTCACGTATGGGCGGCTTGAATGCTATAAGTACTGCATCGCGCCAAGCGTCCACTATGAAGCTATCAGGGCCTTTTGCGAAGAAGCATAATGTCATCCGAGTGAGTCAGAGTTTTATTGCCTTACTCTTGTAGTCTAGCAATCGACCAACTGATGGATGATCTGGACGCCGACAAGTCTGGAAAAGTGAGCGCCCCAGAGCTTTTGGCAGCCCTCAAAGGTTCAGGACTTGACTTGGATACAGTCAAGGAGTTTATCGCTTCCATTGACAAAGATGGTGATGGCCAACTTGACAGAAATGAATTGCGAGCCTTTTTCCGACAGCTTGGATATTAAATGTAAATATGAAAGCCGATATGTTTATATTTTTTTAAAGTTTACTAACAAAGTAATAAAGGCGTTCCCGCTGACACCTCTTCTGGATTTGGAATCGTTTATCGCACAGTTTACAGAAGCACTTTGAAATATACGTGACATGAATTAAGCTCCACATTTAGCAACTCCTTCGGGCATAGCGAATATTTTACTGTCCAATGCGCCGAGAGCGTTTTAAGAAAACACGTTTTATGAGGCGTTAGTTAACTGCAGTAAGACATTTCTGTCCCTTTTCAGGAGCAATAATATTGGCCAAACGCCGTCTGTTGAATACGCCCGTCGATAAAGTGCTACTTTCTAGATAATTCAACTACCTGATACCGTTTTTAAATTTTGCGCTTATTAGAAAGGACTTTTGGAACTACAATGGGTGTGTTAACCCGTGGAATGTTGGTCGAAATTCTGAAATACACTTTCGCTTTGAAAACATTACTTAATTAGGGCTATAAAATTAGTCATCATGCAGCATAATTCTATAATACCTTAGTTACCTCAGGGTGTCAGCTTTCGAACGAACGTCTTTCTGGTCGCGTGGGAAAGCCACATTTTGTAAAAAGGGCCACTTAATTGGCATGAATTTTTCTTATTGATTTGGTCGAAAATTACGTCTTCTTCCAATTTTATACTCGAAGGAAGGGTACAATCTGATTTTCAAAACCTTTCTAATACCCAAAAAGTCTTGAATCCGACCTGCCGCTATACGTACGTCCAGGGCTTACAAACTAAAAGCCGTATATTTTCCGGGTACGGGAAGCCGAACATTTCTCTACGGTATTAAGAGGAAATTATATGGGGTTCATAAAGTTTGGCAGTGGATATGTCAAATTGTAAACTTTGCAAGCGACGTTAGAAAATGCAGAGGACCGATGTTTTATGAACGGCCATTGTACGGTATTAAAACATTTCATAATTAGAAACTTTTTCAAAACCGAATTATATCTTCTATTCGTGTATAAAATTGGGAAAAGACGTAATGTTCGACCAGATTTGTAGAATAATGAATATTGTGTATGAATGTTTTCCATGAAATATAATTCAGTTTTCAATGGCTTCGAAAATCAATAAGAAAAATTTATGTTAATTAAGCAACCTTTTTACAAAGTGGGGTTTTGCATGCGGCGGGAAAGACGTTCGTTCGAAAGCCAGCATCCCGAGGCAACAGAAGTTTTATAGAATTTTTTTCCTGAAGATTAATTTTGTAAGCCTACATAAGTAGTCTTTTCGAAACGAAGATTCAGTTCATAATTTCGATCAACATTTCACAAGTTAACACACCTACTGCATTTGTAGCGTGTGATGTACATTCCACCATAAGAGAAAATTCCAGACAGTCTGGCCGAACGAAATACATGATTTGCTGGGGAAAACATATTATAATATAAAATTAACGTTGGTGAATGTGCTGCTGTTAAAATTAAAAACAGGTTAGAATTCGCGGAACGGGAGTACATCAGAGATGCCCGATCAAAGATGACTCCGTATGCACTAAAGAGTTTTGTAAACATTCGAATTTTACATGCCTTTAAGTACTAGAACAGGCGACTGTGATCTGTTTTCGGTCTCTCAGACGACATACAGTAGGTGGGCCAAATCATGAAGTGTCAACCGAAATTAAGAAATGAGTCTCGTTTCTAAAAGATTGATCAAGTAGGATTGTAAAACTAGTCAATCTGCAGTATAATTTTATAATATTTCAGTTACCTCAGGATGCCGGCTATCGAGTGAACTTCCTTCCGGCTGCATGTAAAAACTGCCCTCTGTAAAAAATGACTACTTGTGTAGTATGAATTTTTCTCATTGATTTTCGGTGCCCCTAAAAGTCCAATTAAAGTTCATGGAAAGCACGCATACAAAAATTCTTTCTTTGTTCATTCGGTAGATAACTACGTCTTCTTCTAATCCTATACTGGAAGGAAGGGTATAATTCGGTTTTCAAAAACCTTTCTTGTTCCCGAATAATTTTGAACCCAAACAGCTTTACACTTGCATTCAGGATTTTCAAACTACAAGCTCTATATTTTCCACGTACGGAAAACCACACAGTTCTCTACGGTAATAAATGGGAACTATATAGGGTTCATAAAATTTAGCAGTGGATTTGGTCCTTATTGTTAACTTTACAAGCCACATTGGTAAATGCAGACACGTGACGATTTATGAACGGCCATTTCACGGTATTTAAAAGTCCCACAATTTGAAGCTTTTGAAAACCGAATTATGTCCCTCTTTCGAGTATAAAATTAGATTAAGACGATCTTATCTACCGAATAAGCGAAAGAATGTATAGTTGTATGAATGTTTTCCTCAAAATATAACTGGACTTTTGGAGGCATCGAAAATCAATGAGAAATTTCGGTTGACATTTCATGAGTTAACCCATCTACTGCAGCTTAAAGCCTTTGAGGGAATAAGTGTCATAAAAATAATTACTCACTACTGACGAATACGGTTGGAGACGAAGTTCTACAGCATGTTAACGCAGCCAGGAAAAAGCCATTCCGCAACCAAAAAACTGTACTCTCCCAGACTAAACTGACAAGACAGATGTTGCCGGGATGGGGAGGCGTAGATACTACAAAAAATGAACCGGAGACGCCTCCGCTAGCTGCAGAGTAAATTATTCTGTTCACATGACACAGCATGTG